GGTCTAATCTCGGTTTTGCTTTTAAATACATCATGGTGACTTCTCAAGAGGTCACACATCTCTTCACTGCATGTTTAACTTCAGAGTTCTTATAATCATCCTAAAATGTGTCTTCTCAGTTGAGTTTAAATTATTTTTATGACTCATGTATCTCTTTTGTACTTTGTATATATTAGATTTGTCTAAAATGTTACATTGCACCTTCTTTTTCCTACATTTCTTAATGATTGAGATTGTTGTTTTTCGAATATAAACTCGATCTCTTACAAAACGAGTACAAGTATCGAATTTTCGTCCCAACCTGCGCATGGCATTCCTACCCTTAACCATTCATCCAACTAAATATTTTTTGCCCATGGACTAAATATTGGCTCGCGCCCGGCCACTCTGACCCCTTTTCGTTGACCAAACCGAATAAAATCAGAAGCCCGCTTCTTCCTTTTGTCTTCATAATCCCGCGCCTTCAAATTAAAAAGCAACCGACCTATTGCAGCGCGCCGGTTGATCTTTCCAATTTCTTCGACGCCGATCTTTTCGAGTCCGGTGGCGTGTGCATAAAACGGCAATTGCTTCCTAATCACTCTACTCTACTCTTTGATCCGCCGCCGTCTCCTTGTTCTTTAGTTGTCTCCACTCCAGAATTCCACTCAAAAAGCTCCAATGGAGGACGCCGACCTCGAAGTCGTAGAGATTTCCCCGTTCTCCCTCCCGCCTTCCCACTTCACCGGGAAGAGAACACAGAAACAGGTCGGTTCTTCGATTCAAAACTACTTCATTTTCTGATCGTGGCTTTTTTGTTTGTTTTGAGCGGCCTTTTTGTTTCTGTTCTTGTTGGGACTTCTCCTTTCCCTCCATTGATGATCACAGGGCCTTCGCCACTTTCCCCTCTGCGTGCTTTTTCCGGGTTTTATGATGGTGTTTTTTAAGAGTTGGATGAGTTAATTGAATTCTTGGAGGTGCTACTATGCGTCTGTGCGTGGGTTCTTTCTCACAAATCTGTTGACCCTTTGCTCTTTCGAGCAGCAGCCAAGTTCCGAGCATTGAGCAACAATGCAAAACATGAGACGAAGTATGATGTTGGCAATGTTGCGTATTTGGCAGCCAGTTCATTTACCATTCCTTCAAATTGTTCAAGCCTTTTCCTTTAAAGCTCACACAACTCTAATGCTCTAAAGTACACTCCTTTAGATTTAGGGAAACTTCTTACCTAACTTTAGACCTCTAATAGTCTAATGTGCAAATGAACTCGTACATCAAAAGATTTTCCTCAAGTTTTCTGCATGTTGGTTCCCTGGGTCCTACAGTCAGTGGGACAAGAATATGCGATCAGTTACATGAAAATATCTTTAATGTTGTTACTCTTGTTGTGGATGTTATTTGACAACATTGGATAGGTTTCTACTCTTTAGTAACACATTGTTACTTGTGATGACTCTTTATAGCATGTGCTCCCTGAAATCATTGATGTTGATGAGTACGATATTCTCACTGATGTCATGATCCTGGACGAGAACTTTCACAAAGACAAGAAAGGCAAAGCGATCAATGATGAGAAAGTTGTCAATGGTGTGAAAGATGAGGTATACAAGTACATATTGACCTCCAACTCACGCTATAGCATCATCTCCAACTCACCTCTATATGTCATTGGACTCGATTGTCAGGATGTAATCTATGTACCTCCTCCCTTCTGGAAGTCTACATCAACTACGCCTGATGTGAAGAAGCGGAACCATACTTCTATAGCAAGCAAAAGAGATGCAGGTAGCAAGGGACCAGTGCTTCCAAGTTCTGCACGTATTGGTACATCTGCACATCTTAACTTCTTTGTTCTGTTCAACCATCCTATCTTTCATATCTAAAGAGTAAACTGGAAGTGAACCGCACATGGATTATCAATTCTCATGATCTGCATATGCCTCATGCAGAAGAGCAACCTGGAGCTCCAAGTGATGAAAGTTTGAGGAAGTTGAAACTCTTCAGCGTTTCGACATCGTTGAAGGCCATTCAGACCATCACTTTAAGTCTTCTTCGTCGGTATAGGTTACTATTTGTTAACTTATTGCTTCTTGGCTTTGTAAGGACACTTCAAATAGGTTTTTTCTTCCAATGCTGTCCAAACCAATCCTTCGTGACGTAATCTATTGCAGTTTGTATGTTTAAATTCCTCTTTTGTTCTGCCAGACTTCGAAGAAGTGGGCAAAAAGAATTCAAGACGAGTGGAGAATTCTGGAGAAAAATTTGCCAGGTGGGTTTATAGAAAGTAGGAAAATTCTTAGTCTCTTTTAGTTGTTCATAACCTTCTTCTCTATCTTCGTAACTCTATAGATGAGCCTTTGACATTATCCAGTCCTCTCTGTGAAATGACTTACTACTCCATAGGAGCTCCAGATCAAGTATAGCTGAAGAATTTTAGATGATTGTTGATATTTTTCCTATAACATTGTTACTTAAATTTCGTTTTGTGAAAATGTTGTTCATGGATGTGAACAGATAGCATATATGTGAGGGCCAATGAGTCGAGGATGGACCTATTGAGGGCCGTAATTGTTGGTGCAGACGGAACTCCTTACAGCGACGGTCTGTTTTTCTTTGATATCTCCTTCCCTGTTGAGTATCCAAGTGTTCCTCCGGTATGTGATGTTCTATTCATGCAGTGCATTGTTTCTTATGCCATTGCACTTTATCTCACAACTCTCTCTCTCTCTTTTCCCATTTATCAGGAAGTCCACTACCATGCTGGTGGTCTCGACATAAACCCAAACCTGTACTCAAACGGATATGTTTGCCTCAGCCTTCTTGGAACATGGAGTGGTAGCCACAATGAGAACTGGCAGCCTAGTTTTTCAAATGTATTGCAGGTTCTGCTTTCTATACAAGCATTGATATTGAATGAAAAACCCTACTTTAACGAACCTGGTTATGAAGACTTCAAGGGCACCCCTGAAGGTGAAATCGAGTCCCTAGAGTACAATGAGGAAATATTCCTTCTTTCCCTCAAGACAATGGATTATTCAATGAGGAGGCCACCAAAAGTAAGTGCCTTTTGGTCGATTATAATCTGGTTTTCAGATAGTTTATGCACATGTAAAGCTGGAATGAACCTGTCTTTTGGTTCCATGTATGATGTATGACAACCGAGTCAAAAGACTTAAAAATCGATCGGAAAAAGGGTTTCACTATTACCATTCTACTACTTTCTGCAGATTTTTAATTTCTATCCGAATATCTAAATCGATCTTGTCCACATTGCAGCATTTCAAGGATTTCGTGAAGGACCATTTCCACAGCCGAGCGAAGGACATCATGGTGACGTGCAAAGCATACATGTCCGGTGCTCAAGTCGGGTGCCTGGTGAAGGGCGGAATCCAGGATCTTAACAGAGGAGCCAAGAGCTGCTCGCCAAACTTTACGGGCTCCTTACCTGCACACATGGACATGTTGGTGAAGGCGTTTACCAAACTTGGAGTAAAAGGATTATGAAGGGGGGCCTATTTTAAACTTTTTTGATTATCTTTTTAGGAGTTCATTTAAATCTTGTAGCGATAGAGAGCCCAACTATCAAGCCAGTTTGATGAGATGCCTAGTGCAGCAAATAGGGCCAAACTCTTTGAAGATTTTTCTTTTGTGGGGAATTGTATATGGGTGTGAAGAAATATTTATGGGACACGGAACCTATTAGGATCATCACATTTTAGTGCATTGCAAGTAATTCCATTTTGGTGTTCGACAAGCTGAGAATGAGGTTATATATACGGTTTGGGTACATGATTCCATTTTGGTGTTCGGCAAGAAAAATGAATCATTCACGGGAACAATTTGGAATAGAACAACATTAAAGAGTTGCGGGTCATGCACAAAAAGGGGAACCGAACCTCCCTTCCCGTACCAGATGTTGTGCTGCTCTTCTAGCTTTTACTCAGCCGGCAAGAATCAATTCAAAGACAACATAAAACTATGGATTTTCACATCAGATCAAGGTCCAACTGCTCCTCCTTTCGTTGCCTGCAGCGATGCTACACTTGGTACGCCGGACTATCCACTTCGATGTGAAATTGTGCTAATTCGCCACTTCACTGTATCCTGAAAGCCTCACAACTGTTAGGCAAGAACGAGCCATGTTACTCCTGAAAACCAAGGACATGAAATAAGTCCAGATCAAACAACTGAATAGGCAAGAGGGAAAGTTCTGCATTCATTCAATCAGATGCTATGTTCAGGCACAACTCCATTCAAGGAAGAAAGCAGTGCAGAAGCATTTCAACCCTCACGTCAATATTTAACAGTTAACACAAATTGTCTAATACCTATCTGAACCTGACGGTCCAACAAGTAAGACTATATAATCTTAACCAATAGCAAAAACACTAGACGGATAGATAGATAATGGATTGAGCTGAAACAAATGATGGTGCTAAGGACAACCAAACTACCCTATGATTGTACAGTAGAAAACAATCAACACAGAGTACAAACTTGACTCTTCAGCAACTACATCCTTGATTGCTCTGACCATTTTTTGTATTGACATACTTGGAACAGCTAGCTACACACAAGGCCTCCAGCTACTTCATACAGTCGTCTGCAAACAACATAATCTCACCACAATATGTAGCAATACAATAGGGCTGTCCAGCCTTAAGTTGAGGTATCAAATGCAGAAACTACTTATGGTTGCATCGGTAAATCTCCCCCAAGGATAACACAGAACCAGAAATAAACTAGTAGTTAGAAAAATCATAGAATTCAGCAGTTTCATTAGCCTAAAGCATGTAAGTTACTAGAACATGAACCATGGAGTGGAAATTAAATATCACAAGCACATCTTTTTCTTGCCAAGCACATAGAATCCAACAGGTGCAATACTTTTCTGAACAGTAATTAACACATCATCAATCTCAAAATTAAGCCATAACCATTAATGCCAATGTACAGAACCATTTAGAAACGAACTGAAGACGATACCTTTTCCTACTCCCTCCAATTCCCAATCAAGGAATCTAACAAGTTCTCGTATAAAATTCGCCAGCAGCTCCTTCAGTGCAGCAGGCACTCAAGGCTGTGTCTAGCTCAACTGCCTCACAAACTCTGGCTTCCCACAACAAACTCCTTTTAACAATCCTTCTCAATCCATTCCCAGGTAGCAACCCCTCATCCACCATGTCCCTCAAAACCTTCAAGGAATCAAAAACCAAACTCAGGTTGCAAAACCCATAAACCAAAACCCAGTACACATCCTTTCCTACTTTACAAGCAGAGCCAGGCCTAAGCATCCAATGGTACACTTTCAACGCCTCTTTGGGGCGCTTCCTTCTCATATAGGAAGAGACGAGCATGGAAGCGGTGGGACTGACATGGGTTTAGCCATGTCGGGTTCTGAGGTGAGGGAGTGAATGAAAATGGATAAAGAGAGGGATTGGAGAGGTGGGTTTGTAAGGAGAGCTGTTGTCATTAGCTGGATTGCTGTGGGGAGGTGGTTCGTGTTCGAGAGGCATAGGCGCGGGATTAGGAGGTTGATTTTGGTTATTTCTTCATCTGTGAGCGTTGGTTTTTCGTCGGGGAATGTCACTGTGGCAGCTAATGCTGGTACCGTTGAACGCTGCAAAACAGGAGAGTTGGTGATGAATCTCGATTGAAATGTTAGGGCTTTCAGGTGGTTGTATTGTTCCAGCAATTTCATCATCGTCGCCAGGCGATGAAGCTATTCGGCCGAAGAGGATAATTTATTGGGGCCTGATACTTCAATTAATTTACATTATTATATTAATAGCATAAAAATGATTGTTGAAGCTCTCGTAGCTCAGTTGGTTAGAGCACCCGTTTAGTAAGCGGGAGGTCTTGAGTTTGACTCTCAACGAGAGCATTATTTTTCATAACGCGTTATGCCTTTGGACTAATCGGGCCTGAATGATTCTGAGCCCAGAGCAAGTTCGACCTTTGGGCCCAAAATAAATTTATCTGCTTTTGGACTAATCGGGCCTGAATGATTCTGAGCCCAGAGCAAGTTCGACCTTTGGGCCCAAAATAAATTTATCTGCTTTTATGCTTAGGGTTTAGGCCCATTAATCCTTGTTGGCATCAAGGCATGCTGAGCCCAACCCAATACTTTTGCCTTGGCTCATTTGATTTTCCGTACAAGTGTAGCAATGGAGATAGTAACTAGAGAGTGAAATTTGGGTATGGTAACTTATCAGTGACGTCATCTCAATTTCTCATCAGGAGAGTAACGACATTTTAGGGCTTGCATGAATCCCTTTTTTGGAGCTTGTTTAAGCGACGTAGTATGTGAATTGGCTATCTTGAAAGAGCAGTTTATTGGAAGCAAAGTTCAATGGCTGAATATGTCAAGTGCTGCCTAACTTGTCACAGGATACGCAAATTGGTAAGAGGCCATGAACATTAGGCAGATGATGGGTACTGGAGTAAACTATTAGTATGTGGGAACCGTTGGGTCAACCATAGTTGCATATGCATGTATTCCTCCCGTCAAGTTGAACACCCTCTGGAATCCCTGCAAACCCAAAACAAAACGTATATGAGCTATTACTTGTTGGAGGAAACAACAGTATTACCAGTACAAACTAAACTACTCAACCCTATACTAAAACGACTCTGGCTTAGCATCAATTCTAGTATTATAGCCTACAAATCATAGTAGCAGGCCTCGCCTTTTAAAAGTACCCATAAGCATGAGAAGAGAGTTATGCAAGTACGACTCACGGAGACAAGAAAACAAGTGTTGTTTAGTTGCTACCAGGAAGAAGCTCAAGAGGGCTTATAAATTATAAGGAGGTTATATGTTACCTGACTCTGCAGCCATTTTGCTACCTGTAATGACCGCATCCCATGATGGCACTGCAACATTTAAAACACATCCCTTAGTAGCCTTTTATCCAATAAGAAGTTCGTTCTTATAACTAATACAAGATATGAAGATATTAGTAGCAGGGAGCTATATAATCAGTGTCTCTACAAATTACTTTTTACCAACCCCAACATTGGAGAAAAGCTTGACTGCTAATTTCCTCAAGCCCTCAGTTTCCCACCCGTACTCAGGAACACATTGAAGCAAAAGCGGTTTATGTTTTACAGTATCCTATGGTTACTGCTTAGTGTTGGTGATTGTTAACAGTTTTACATGAGTTCTCAACAGACCATGCTTGATTATGGAAAACTGGGCAAACCTCAAACACAGCGATAATGTCAAATAGCTTCACACTACCTCAAGTTACATTTGGAGTGTTATGGCATCAGTAACAGTCTGCATGACTGCAAAGCAGACCAGACTCTAAGTGCCCACCTGGCCAACAGTACATATTATACAGATTATCTTTCTCCTACTTGTTGACTTAATGCTTTTTTCATCAGTTTATCATGAAAACTAGAATTCAAATGAATCTGCAAATAGTATGCTGAAAAAGTTCTAGCTCCTGAGATGGGTTAATTGTATGTAAGTGATTCCAGTGCAAGGATATTAGGAAACTATAATGAAAGAGCTATAGCTCATACAGGGCATAAATTTACCCACGTCGGTTTTCAACTACAGGTTATATAAAATTGCTCCATTGATAAAAGCATTAATGACGAGAAATTTTAACAGAATAGCTTGTGGCTACACTAACCAAAACCAATTCATTGAGAGAAGATCCAGAAGTACTCTCAGATTATGTGATTTTTCAAATTGAATATGCAGGTAAGATGATTTTAATCTACTCCGTCAGTTAGAGTCGACATTTTTTTTTTGTAAAGTAGCCCTATTCGTCCTTTATTATAAAACAGAAGCCTCATTAATCTTTTAAAGGTCAATGAGGAGATAATATCAAAGGGAAGGATACGACTAAGAATGAATGAGAAGTTAATATCAATACCATAACATATGTGTCCTTCTGCGGATCAAGCTTGGTTGTTATTTCAGGACCCCAAGTTCCAAACTGACGAAGTGGAAAAACTTCAAAACTTGGCAATGATGCTTTGGCCCTGCAAGCAAAAAAAAAAATGAAAGGAGAAAGCAGTTAACATTGAGTACATGGTGATCCTTGCCTAACAAGAAACAACTGTAAATTTGAAGAAGACAACAAAAGCAAACAATGGTGCAAGGGAAAAAGGATATTGATGGGCCAAACATAGCATGCTTAAGCATAAACATATACCAGTCTTAGAATTAATTTGTCGCAGGAAGATTAAAATGATTCACAATTGAGAATATAACATACACTTTCAGATAATTTCTTAACCTAGGTTCAAATCACAAGGTGAGGGATTTGGAAATCCAGCAGAACGAGGGATTTGGATGAAATCCCTCATCCAAACGAACCCTTGTAATCTGGCACTACTGAATCGATCTTGTAGAATTAGTATTGGAAGATGAATTCAATTCAGAGCAACACGGGAACATACACTTCATCAGGTTCTCGGACATCAATCAACTGAACCTCCTCAAGAAACGTTGGATCTTGGAATTTTACATGAAAGTCCTTCGGTTGAATCTCACGAAGCACACATTCTTCTCTGGTATTAAGAGAAAATTAGTAGAAGGAATGAGACAATACGCAACTACAGACAAAAACAACCAGTGCAAGCATTCCTTCGTATAAAATCAAAGAAGGCATACCTCTCAGAGAGAACTTGCAGCAAATGCCATCCAAATTGAGTTTTACATCTCACAACTTTGTTTAGAGGGGCAGTAAATGCAGCTTCCTCAAATTCGGGGACCTAGTGTACACCATTCATCAAAAGAATGATTAGGAATTAAAACTGCATACACACAGATTAACTATGCACGCAGTGGACCAAAACATTACTCAGAGGTAAAAACAACTTGGTGGTATAAATATATAGACTTTCTAATCTACAATCCAAGATCACACTGAGTGCTTACCATTTGACCCTTTTTTACCCATCCAAGCAATCCCCCCTCTTGTTTGGAAGGACAAATTGAGTACTCCACGGCAAGGTCGCCCAAATCCTCTCCTTCAGAAAACAAGAATGGACAAATGTAGTAATTCAATTGACCATTGGGGTGAAGCAAATATCTTGAAGCCATAGCCAAATTATATTCATACAACCAATTTGCATCGGAGAACGGAAACCACAGACCAATTGACATCCAACTACTGTCAAACTCGGGATACCATTGTTCGTTTAAACCAAACACTCTGCAGGTTATCTATATACAATGTGCGTACTAACCTCTTGTAATTCTCCGCTGAATGTCCACCAGAAGATTGGCATCACCTTCTTTGACAAGCAAGTGTTGTACCAGTAATTCCCTTTCAACTCCGGAGCCACTTGCAGGACTCGATAAAGCTGAAGAAGCAGGAAAGGTTTAGAAGGAACGGAAGAAAAGGACAACAAGAGCCGAATTCTGAAGTCTACCTCTGGGGCGTGGATGACCCGGCACCATAGGCATGGAGAAAGGGGCCCGATTGAAGGCAAGAGAAGGTCGAGAAGTAAGGGTTCTTCTGCACAAAGGGTTTAAGAGTGGAGGGGGAGAGGCACCGAGTTTACCAAGGTGAGAACAACAATGGAGGGAAGTGAAGGATAGGAACGGAACGAGAGAAGGTCTGAGAGCAGAGACTGTTGCTGCTGCTGGAGATTGAAGACGCGTTGCTCTAAGCATTTTTCCTTGCCAAATTCAAATCCTATTTTCAGCCTCAAATGTGATTCGAGAATCGAGACTAGAGAAGATTGATTGATTCTTCTTCTGTTCCACCAAGAGAGACGGCTGTAAAAGAAACAAAGAAACAAAAAACTACGTCAGATTCTCCAATCAAAAAAATAATGCCACAAAATACAGGCCACCAACGTGCCACAAAAAAGCCAAGAGCAGGTGGATCAAAAATGTTGATCGAGAGTCAGGGGAGCTCCATGTTATCAGAAAGTGAAGAACTTAGGGACTTCTTTTGATGAACTCCATAAGGGGTATAAAAAGTTACTGCTTTGAGTATGTACAAAAATGGTGGTTAACAAGATTACTGTAAATTTTTTTGTTTTTACCATTAGTTGGTCAAACAATATCCATCCTCGAACCAGAAAAAAAAGGTTCTTCTCACTAATTAACACAGTTGCTGAACTCCTCATTTGACAAGAGAAACAGATTGCAACAGAACATTGCAAGGGAAAACTCAAAACTGAAAACTGAGAAGCTCCAAACCAAAATTACCTACGGATGCAGCTTATCAATTGAAGGGGGACTCAACATAAGAAAAAAGTTCATTCTCCCTGCAATATATTGGACAACTTGCTGAAATTAAAAAAGGAAATCAAAGAACAGCTTCTTGGAACTGGCGAACGAACAAAAGATATCCTATGCGTTTTCAGATAATAGAGATCGAGTATCGCAACTTAATCTACAAAGTGAGTCACACAACAACACCCAATTTCAAATGTAAGTGTTTGAACTAGAAATTAAACGATTGAGGGAGGTAGAGACAAGAGAGACCTCACAAGTGGAAGGAGCGAGGACTAGCTCGGTGACTAAGATGACGCGATCTGCAGGAGGTCCAATGGTGAGTGAGTGGCTGGCGATTCTCGAACTAACTCCCTGAAATCGAGTGGGAGGTCCGGCGGCGAGTGTTTGGCGACTGAGTTTAGCAAGAGGTTTGGCAGTGAATGGCGCGCGGTAAGTTAAATGATTTGCATGCGCAGATGAATCGTTGTTTGACGATTTGATTTTTTAGGGTTTCAGATGAGAGCGGAATTTGGAGAAAGCCAAGAGACAAAATAGGACAGTGAAAATTAACATCAACAACCAATCTCATCACTCTAAATCGAATAAATTCTTCGTGATCGGAAATATTTTCAGAGCAAAGGAATCATTAACGAATAAAACGCCAGGAATCTACCCAGAAGTTTGGCTGAAAGAAAGAACCAAGAACATAAGAGAAGAAGGGTAGTAATCAAATTCAAATCATGAGTTGCTTGGGATCGGTCTTTTGAAGCTACTACCACGAACGATTCTCTCCTCAATAATTTTGCCTTTGCTATCACTAATTCACTATCAACAAGCAACCACACCTTACTCTCACTGTTCCTGCTTATAGTAGTTAATCAGGTCCACTAATCCCACACAAGGACTACTAAGCAAATTGCTTATCAAGCCTGCCGGTTTAGAACACTACAGGAGCTCAAAAGGGAAAGCTTGCATTGGTCAGGGCAAGCTATCTCCCTTTCTCATACATTCATTACGAAATGACCCGTTAGATAAATTGACTCGGCTCTCTTAATAAATTAAATCCTCTCCCATACTCCAAACCACCCAAATACACAAAATTAACCAGCTCAGTTACTGGAAAATAGTTGGCTGCCTGCTTGTTTGAATCTGCCTAGAAGGATTAGGGAAATTTGTAACCCTAATCAACCATTTTCACAGAGCACAAAGGAGAGATGGTACCTGGCTGACACACCGCAGTCTACTTCCTGCTTTGCTCGACGTCTCCGTCGTGATTCCTCACCGCGCCATTCTTCTTCCCGAGCTCCCTTCCCAGTATCTCTTCTTCCTTGACCCGTCAGCAGAGTAGCAGCGAAAAAGAGAGTGTGGAGTCAGTGGAGGAAAGCCCCGACAAAGCTAACCCTTGTCATCCAAAAAGCAAGGGTAAATGTGGGTTTCTGAAAGAAAGACAGGGATACATTTGGTTTTTTAAGTTCTCATAAATCATAATGCTTTGTTATCTTCATTTATCTTTACCTACCTATACCAATCATTTAACCGACCAATCTGTTGCGACTCATTTTATTAGACTTGTTTGATCTGTTTTATTGTAATACTCGTTCTCTGTCTACGATGCAGATGTGGATACTCTTCTTCTTCTTGATATGATTGGCTTCATTTTCGATCCATTTTTTTATAAATTATATGCAATTATACTTAAATTATTTATGATTTTACTTTTATTGCGTCATATTTTAGCTATTATAAAGTTGTAAATAAGTGAGGCAAAACATATCCTCTACAACATCAATAATATAATATTTTGTTTGACCAATGTCTAACTTGTTATCTTTCTGTGAATTCAATATTGAATTAGATGTAAAACACAATAATTGTTTAGATTGGAAGCCTTGCTTTTACAATAGATAGATATCTCGTAATTCTACTCGTCGTTCCTTCTAAATTGGTTTTTCGTGTTCGCGTGTTCACTTGCAGTCTATGCGTTTTTGTTAGTTGCTTTCTCAAATGTGAATTTTCTTATTGCGATTTCACTTTATTGCTCTTGTTTTTATTTTCATTGAACCTAATCCCTTTTCAGACCTACTTTCCATTTGGTTTTAGGATCCGCTCTCACCTATGGAATGTTTGAATTCTTAGTTTTATTTTTTAGGAATATAAATGATCAAAACGATGAAGTGAGCAAGTTCCTGTACTATTTGTTGTACATAAATAGGTAGATTTGTACCTCATATACGATGTATTCTTTATCCGTTTAGGAAAAACCGACCATGATTTTCTCCAATAAATTCTTTTGACATACTAGTTGGTGAATAATTTGGCTAGCAAGTAGCAACCCCTTGATAAAAGTGGAAGTTCTTCTCAATTGTGCTTAGGGACCAATTCTAGGTGAAGGATAGTAGTAGAAGAAAACTAAATATCGAACTCGATGTCAATATCATTCACGAAGTTGATCCACACATGGAGAGATCATGAAATACAAGAAGAAATACAAACAAAATGGATTGTGAAATGAATAACCAAGAAAAAAAAAACAGTAAAACACAAATAGAAAACACAACCCATTCAATTCAGCAAAGAATTCTTCATCCCAAAGTCTTCAATTTCTAGCCCTCCGTCTCTTAGATTCAAATAGCCGGCGCAAATAAAGCTACACCAAGAGCAAAGGCCGCCGCTGTTACCCAAACGGCAGAAATCCCTGCATCAGCAGCAGCCGATGTGTTCACCTGAACAACAGGGGTGGCCTCCTCTTCAGGGGCAGGGGAACCCTTCTTCTTCTTTGGCTTCTCCGCCGTTGGAGCCGGAGCAGGAGCAGGAGGTTTGGCGGTGAAGATATCCACGGGGAGCAACACCTTGTCCACCTTATAAACCGCCAGCTGATCGTCGGCGTACACATTCCCGGCGATGCTAGCGTTGGTGAGCCCCGTGGTAATGCTGACCGAATCGGGATACGCGGTCAAATTGAAGGACACGCGGCCACCGGATCCCGCCTCCGTGGCGATCGGATTGCTGACGGTCTGGAATTGGGCGGAGGAGAGGAAAGTGGGGACGACGTGGAACTTGACGAGCTCGGATTTGGCCTCGTCGGAGAGGGAGTTGAGGGTGCCGGATTTCAGAGAGGAGAAGGCGGAGTCCGAGGGGGCGAAGATGGTGGCGCCGTTGTTGGAGTTGTTGAGGAGGGTGAGGAGGTGGCTGTCTTCCTGTGTGGATCGGAGGAGGTGGATGAAGGTGTTGAAGTGGCCGGCCTTCTCGAGGATTTTGGTGACGTTGGTTGGGGAAGGTGACGCTGGGAGTTGCGCCGGCGGGGTTGCTGCTGGTGGCGGTGCGGCGGCAGGGGATGATGCAGGGGATTGTGCTGTTGTGATCTTCGTTAGGCAGAGGAGGAGGCAGAGGAATGCTGCCGCTGAAAACAGCGTACTCTGTTTGTTCATCATCTTGATGGGTTAGCTCTGGAGTAGGCTGCTGCAGAAAAGAAAATGATAGGATCAAGCTGGGAAAACAGTAGAAGACTAGTTGCTAGTAGTGGTAGTGGAGGATTGTAGTGAAGATGCTTGATGAGATGAAATGGAGTTGAGATTGAGGGGTTCTTATAGTGACATGGTGGTGGTAGAAAGATCAGAATTCTGTTCGATAAAAGCAGAGTACATGAAAAAAGCTTAATACTTTCATCCAATTGATCCCTAGCAATTGAAGAACTTCATTCTGATACACTGAGTTGATTACGAGATTGGGTAAAAAGTTACAATAATAAGGTGGAGTGAGATCGACAAGGAATCCATGAATTGACATCCTAAAACAGAGCACTTTGCTGGAGAAACAACATCAACCCAGCCTGGAGGTATTAAAAAAACGGCCTACCATATTTGTGTAAGATTGACATGATCTTTGGGCATGGTGGGCGCTGACATTTGAAGTGAATGCCCAACTTCCATCTTCCCGCCTTTTATTCACCTTTCTTCCTTCACCTTTTCATTGTTAAAATCTCACCAAAAGTTCATACGCTCTGGAAGTTGACAATCGACATTCGACAGAGCCAGCCACCAAATATTGATTGATGCAATCCCCACATTCCCCAAAAGAATCAGATGTCAGTTTCTCCCATGGAAACCCACCTCAGGTTATCTCTGTCATTCCCACCTTCCTGCATTTCTAAGCAATGGATGATCATGCACAATCCCTTAATCCCTACCTCCATTGATTCTCTGCACTTGAACACTATTATATAAACCCTGCTTCTTCACAGAGTCCATTCATCAAACACCTTGCAGACATTCCACAATCCCCTCAACCTTCACTTCTTATCACCTCCATTCTCCCAAAAACCGCCGGCAACCATGAAAACCCAAATCATCATCTCAATTTCACTCGCCTTCCTCCTCCTAAACATCCCCAAAACCCTATCCCTGTCTCCCGCCGCCGCCCCAGCCAAGCCGCCGCCTTCCTCCCCTGCACCCGCGGCCCAAGTCGCCGTAACCCCCGGCCCATTGGACGTCGCCAAGATCCTCGACAAGGCCGGCCGGTTCACCGTCTTCCTCCGGCTCCTGAAATCCACTCAGGAGGACGTCGAGCTCTACCAGCAGCTCAACGAGACCCACAACGGCGCAACGGTGTTCGCCCCCAGCGACGGCGCGTTCTCGGGGCTGAAAGCAGGGACCCTGAATTCCTTAAGCGACGGGGACAAATCGGAGCTGGTGAAGTACCACATCGTGCCGTTCTTCATCTCGTCGGCGCAGTTCCAGACCGTGAGCAACCCGGTCAGGACCCAGGCCGGTTCGGGCGGCCGGCTCTCGATGAACATCACCACCGATGTCACCGGGAGTTCGGTCAATATTAGTACCGGGATCGTCAACACGACGATTTCGGGCACCGTTTATGCGGACAGCAGGCTGGCGATTTATCAGGTGGACAAGGTGCTGCTCCCGCTTGACGTTTTCACTCCCAGGCCTCCGCCGCCGGCGCCTGCTCCGGCCCCGGCGCCGGAGAAGGCGGGGAAGAAAGGGGGTGGAGCGGAGAGCCCTGCTGTTCCGAAGAGCGACAAATCTGGCGCCGTGAGGCGGATTGGGCGGCGTCAGGATTTGGTGATCTTGGTTTTGGGAGTCGGGTGGATTGCTACCGCAGTGTTGTGATTTGTTCAAGAGATGAACTGTGTTTTCCTTTTCGGTTTCTTCTTCTTCTTCATTGTGTGCTGGAGATAACAGAGTTCTGCGGGCTGCCGGAATGGCTTCTCTGATTTCTTTGTGAGGGTGGTTTTCACTTGGATTGCTGGGCTTGTTGTGTCAATTTTTCTGTTCATTCCCCTTTTATTTGAGGGATTTGTTTGCTGCAAGTTCAAGCTCTGTAACCGATTCAACATATAAAAGAAAAGTTTGCTTCGAATAAATTCGTCGTTATATGTTTGGTTTCTTCAAGTGTTTGCATGGGAAGGCTACATTTGATGATTTGAATGTATAAAGACGGCAATCCTAATCCAAAACAGACTAGGATTACAACTAATTTTTTTTTATGGGAATATGTGGCCTTTTCATTCAAGAATTAAGAAATAGATCCACAATCCAAACGGCCCAGATCTGCCTCTAAATGACAGAGCAGATTTAGAGGGGTTATCAACGGCTCAAGATAGGGTGCATAACCATGGGTTATGCACCCAACAATAACCAAATCTGGACCCTTCATTTAGAAAATCCAGATTTAAGGATGGAGAATTAAAAACTATTTTTATTTTCACTAGCTTTCTTAATTGACTCATATCTTTTTCGTTTTAACTCGGATTTTAATTTGTTTTGCACAGATGGAACGAGTTCACCGTGCTCTACAAAATGAGATCAATTTTCAATATTTTTTGAGGAAAAAAAATTCTGGCCTCTCGATACCAACTGCATACCATATGGTATTTTCTTCGTTTTTAATTCGTTTTTGAAAACGTTTGCACAGCAGGGACGAGTTCATCATGATCTACTGGATCTACAAATTTCTGGGTGAACAAAATACAGGACCAAAAAATACCACACAATACCATACAATACCACCCTGGTACGGGGTGGTATTGTATGGTATCTTGTTCGTTTTTAATTCGTTTTTGAAAACGTTTGCACAGAAGGGACGAGTTCATCATGATCTATTGGATCTAAAAATTTCTGGGTGAACAAATTACAGGACCAAAAAATACCACACAATACCATACAATACCACCCTGGTACGGGGTGGTATTGTGTGGTATACAATGTTAAAAGTCGTAAATTACAATTAATATACTTCTACTATCATGTATTCAACCATCCTACAGTATTGGTTTGTTCATACCACCATGGTACGTTTTTCAAAACATAGGTATGCTTTTATTTCAATACCAGTCAATACCATATGGTATAGGCGGGTAAAAAATGGCTCAATTTTTTTTGTTCGAAAAATATATTAAAGTGGATATCATTTTGAAGAGCACAATTAATCTGATCTAACTGTGCAAAAAAAAAAAAAATTTCGACTTAAAATGAGCGAGAAATCGTCCGTCAAAGATTAAAGAGGGAAAAATTAAAGGCTTTCTATGAGAGAGAGGATGCTGATGTCATGCTGATGTGGACGGGTTACTCATGGTTACTCACCATAAGGTTACTGACCTGATCCATTCCCGTTATCAACCCAAACAAATTGTCTATCCCAGCCCGAAATCGCATGGGCAAACCAGTGGGCCGAATTGTTGTTCTTTTTTGGGGTAAAATTCCACTTCACAGAGATACCTGTCATTTCTTCGTTGCTTCTAGCCAGCTTCACAATCTCCTCGCACCAAACACCCAGCTCCGAACAGTCCTGCACCTTCTCCTTCAATTGCCTTATGAGAGGTTGATAATCCGACTCCACTATTAAGGGGCTAAAACCTCTTTTGTTGACTTCATGCAATCCCATTATGATAGCTTTCGCTTCAGCCTCGATGGGTCTACAAATTCCACTTTCCTTCTTCGCTGTGGCTCCACAGAAATTTCCACCCCAATCTCTGATCACGCAACCAAAACCCACGCCAGAAGGGTTGAAGACACCCGCATCGGAGTTGAGCTTGAAAAGACCCTCGGGAGGAGGGATCCAGCCGCTAGAAGTGCCCTGACTGGTCGGTTGAGGATTGACAGTGCAACTCAAAGAAGGAGGGTCTTGGGCGTTCAGATAAGCTTGAAGCCAGCCCAGTGCTTTTGGGATAATCTGCTCCTCCTCCGTTTTGTGGTTATTATTCAGGTGATTGCATCTTTCCTTCCATAAATACCATAGGACCACACAAAACTTTTGAATCTGTTCAAGATGTGAGCTTTTCCAGATCTCCCTTAACCATTCCATGCACGATTTCCCTTCCCCGATGTCGAATAATTCTTTTCCCTCCCAAGTTTCCCATTGGCGACGAATCCATCCACAATCACGCAGAGCATGGGTCTGGGATTCAGGCAACCCACAAAAGGGGCAATCCGAGCAGGCCTCTTCGAACCACTCCTCAATCTGGCAACCCACAGGTAGGATATTTCTTCCAAATCTCCAGATAAACATGCGAGCTTTAGGAGGAATAGGGGTTTTCTATAGGGCTTTCCAAAAATCAGAGTCCTCGCTGGTGATAGAATTTAACTGAGTAGTGTTATGGCTTCGTTCCTCAAATATTTTCCTGTAGGCCGATTTAACCGAGTATTTCCCATCATCCGAGTCAATCCAAATCCTTGTGTCTCTCGCCAGAGGGATCCTCAGAGGAATTTTAGCAATTAGATCACAGTCTAGTCTCGAGAATTTGCCTCTTCGAATGTTCTGATCCCAGGCACCCCTATTTCTATCAATGAGATCAGAGACCAACTCATTTGAATTCGTGCCACTTGGTTGGGGATCCGCGAAATAGTAGCTTTTACCAGGGATCCAAGGGTCCTCCCATATTCTAATAGATTCCCCATTCCCAACACGCCATCTGAATCCATCCTCAATCTTTTCCTTAGCATTCATGATACTTCTCCATATGAAGCTAGGTATATAGCCAATTTTTGCATCAATAATGTCAGTTCTGGGGAAATACATGGCTTTCAACGTTCTGGTCATCAACGAGTTTGGCCTAGATAGCACACTCCATACTTGTTTTCCAAGCATGGCCAAATTAAAATCTCTGAGATTTTTGAAACCCATACCTCTAACTTCCTACTCGTCGCAAAGATTCTCCCACTTCAGCCAGTGGTGCTTTGGTTCTTTCCCTTTCTGCCCCCACCAAAAATTCGAGATCATCTTTTGGATGTCATTCAGAGTCCCTTCTGGAATCAGGAACACCATCATAGGATATAGGAATTGAGCTTGAGCCACCGCTTTGATCATCGCCTCTTTTCCCGCCTCGGACATGGTTCTGCTCTTCCAGTCCTTCAGTTTTTTCCTAACTCGCTCCTTGATTTCTTCGAACATTAATTTCTTCGATCTTCCAACAATCGTGGGGAGACCAAGATACTTAGGATGTTTTGCCACTTCCCTTACACCAAGCGTACCACAAACTTCCAACCTTCGACTGATTCCGACATTGTTGCTGAAAGAAATATCAGACTTATTAAAATTGATCAGCTGACCAGACTTAGTAGCATAACACTTTAGGATCCTTTTAAGCTCGTCCACTCTTGAGTTGTAGCCTTCTAAACACCACACTGTCATCTGCAAATAGAAGGGGAGATATTAGGAGCCTTCTTCCTCATTTGAATTCCATGGATTACAACTAATTCATATATGAACAAATGTCTCATTTTCTCATTTATCATTAAAATGGTTAATAGGTGAATTTCTAAAGTTAAACTGAACATGTTTCTCAATTACTTAAGATACAAGCAAGTTTCAGATAATTTAATCTATGCATAAATTAACTCATGCTATTGTTCTATCATACGATAAAAGCTTGCCATCCTTCTGAGCGGAATTAGATGATTAAAATGAGTAAATGACCATAATGCTATGCACCTGAAAACGGATCAAAATGACGATCATGCTATACACCCAAACTCGTAACGCCACAAAAACAGCCTCTATTTTAAGTATTTTATGTAGTAACATTAAACATATTGAAAATATGATTTTTTTTATTTGGCATAATTATGAGATAGATAATTGCTTTATTTTGAAATTCAAAAGGCATTATGTTAAGAAAACTTTTTTTAAATATGATAAGAAAACTTTGTGATTACACACTTTCATCTGAAAAAATTCAAGTAAATACACAACTCAAACAATGATTTTGTAATTATGTAATCTAGCTGGTTATCACGATGAGATTGTCTCCGAATATTACCTAGCCTAAATTTTCTGATCATTTACTTACTATCACGGTCAATATATGTAAACTCATACAAACCAATTTGATCAATCCGACTATCAATTCATCGAGATCGGTTAATTACGTAGTCATTTACCGTTCTCATAAAAAATAAGAAACCATCACACTAAATTTATGGATCGAAAACCTTCATCAAATAAACTTTGAAGTTTAATTACCCCGATAGAAGAGATTGATTATTTTTTTTGGGACTTTTGCATTTGCCATCTATGTAGCCGCAATTATACAAGGCATAACAAAATTTTATGGTTTACTGAAACACAGAACATGATGTGATTTATCACCAAATAATAATCCCCAAATGACATCCCCAAAAGCTAATAATTCCAGCATCACATCACGAGATTGGCTTAGAGCTTACAAATTGCAGCAAGGTAAAGTGATTTAGACAGTGCCAGCCATCAATGAACATCCTAAATGCAAAAGCTCATCTTGACAGTGCCACCATTTCCTGATTGATGCATAATCCCCACATTCTTCCCCCAATCACACAGCACATTTGCTAACATTCTAAGCAAAAACTCTGTAATGAATTACCCACAATACATCCATCATCCCTTCCCCTCCATTGATGCCCTCCATCCACCCTTCTGCAACCAACCCACATGAACAACATCACACCAGAGAGCTGGCCGAGAACTAGACATCCATGGCTCCATCTTCATCCTCACCCTTTGCCACCACCGCGGCCGCTATATAAACCCTCTCCTACTCCCTGCCCATCAAACCATCACCCAAAACCAACCATTCCTCAATTCTCATCTCTCAGAAGCATTTCGTCAAACACCTCATCTGCATAACTAACACTCACACAAAACAATGGCGCAGCAGTCACAAACCCTCTCCACACTACTCCTCTTCTCCACCCTCCTCTTCCTCTCCCTCCACAGCTCCACATTCACATCAGCCCAGTCCTCCTCCACCTCTGCCTCGCCCCCTGCTCTTTCCCCTGCCAAATCGCCTCCAAAGCCCACATCTCCCCCAACTCCAAAGCCCACCGCGCCGCCGCCGGCCCAAGGCCCAGCCGCCATGGTCCCGGTCCAAACCTCCAAAGGCCCGCTCAACGTCCTCAAGGTGCTCCAAAAGGCCGGCCACTTCTCCAATTTCATCCGCCTCATCAAAACCACACAGGAAGACATCCAATTCGCCTCCCAGCTCAACGCCTCTGACGACGGAATCACGGTCTTCGCCCCGACCGACGGCGCGTTCTCCGCCATCATCAAGGCAGGGGTTCTCAATTCACTCTCCGACCAGGAAAAGATCCAGCTGGTTCAGTTCCACGTCATCCCCAGGCAAATCTCGACCCCCCAGTTCCAGACCGTCAGCAACCCGCTCAAGACTCTGGCCGGGTCGGGTAAGCGGTTCCAGCTCAACGTCACGACCAGCGACAGCATGGTGAACGTGACGAGCGGGCTGACGAATGCGACGGTGTCGGGGATTGTTTATGCGGATGATAAGGTGGCGATTTATCAGGTGGATAAGGTTCTGCTTCCCATGGAGATTTTTGCGCCCAAGGCTCTGGCGCCGGCGCCGGCTCCGCCGAAGAGCTTGAAGGGCGAGGGCGCGGATGGGCCGGCGGTGCCCAAGGATGCTTCCGGTGCGGCGTTGGGCTGTGTTGTTGGGTGGAAGAATGTGGTGATGGTCGGAGCTGCGACGGTGGCCGCCGTGGCTTTGGCGTTCTTGTGACGGGTGTAGATCGGGCGGTGGCATCGATTTTTTATGGAGGATTGATGAAATTGAATCGTGTGATCGGGTAGAGAGAGTGATTTTTCAATAAGTTTGATTGAAGGTTGTGGGGATCATGAATAGATCCATTTCTGATGTATTATTTCAATCTTGTGTTTCCCCTTTTGAAATTCGGTTTTCTGTTTTCCCTTCGCGCCATATGTTTATCCCTTGATTCTCCGTTTTCTGTTTTTTTTTTTTAATTCTTTTGCACACTTGTATTTTGTATGTGAATTGTGAACTTTGTAACGAGAATGGAAGACACTGAATGATAAATTTTCACGCATCCCTTTAAACTATTTTTTTTTGGTAGGAAGACATGTTTTAGTCCGTATAAAAAATATCGTGATTCATGATAATGCCATAATATCGTATATAGCTACTGGTTTAAATTTGGATTGCACACGTTGAATGGATGTGTGTCAAAAGTAAACTAAATTATTTACCATCTTGTGGCCGACTACATTATTATTGGTACAAACATGAATCGATTGTCGATACAGTTCTATTGTAAGACTCATATAAAATTTGTTAATTGCATGGTCCATGAAACCGTACCGGAAAAGTCAACGGTAGGGTATTTTATGGCAAAACCGTGGTTTAACTGTAGTTCAACCGTTAAATACCACCTACCGGTTTAGCCTCCGATACTGGTATTTTGTGGTTGAACCGGGGATACGATACGGTTTCATGGACCATGGTTAATTGTAATAGTTATTTTTCATGGATTTCAAATAATTTGGTATTTGGCATCTATGAATAAAAATGCATACGAAGCTACGATTATCCCGTGACACACAAGTACAACAGTATTCTAATAAGACTCAAACTACTATGCATACATCCTAACGATACTGTTCGGCCCAGAAACAGAAACGTTTGCCTTGTTCAGCCATAATGAACACTGTCACGACTATTTTATGCGGATCGGTAAATATGAGAATTCGACAATGCAAGAAACGAAAGTACGCGCACACACGCGACACACGATTTACGTGTTTGACTAACAAAATGTGTGTTAGCTAGTTCATGGCAGGAGAGAGAGCCAATTTCACTATATTTCGAGGAAAAATACAGATTACTGAGGAGTATGAGAAGTATTTATATTACTTCTCCTAAGTCTAACCCTAATTCAATATGGTAAAGGAAAAGCGGTTACAGCCAGTCCCAGAATACGAACCCAAATAATATTGAGACCATACACCGCTGGCTCCTATAACTTACAGTCGTAGCGGCTGATAGTCCGATTCAATTCATGATAAGTTGATAATTAATTAGCCACTCATCTTAACCCTCAAACAAAAAAAGACCTAATTAAGTGTCCAAAGTGAACACGGTAATGGTTAATCACTCGTCCTAACTAACAAACACAAAAAAGCTTTTGTATTATCATCTATTGTAAATCCAACAAAAATTACCAGCGACTCATCTTGACTCGTGAACAAACGAAATCTGAGCCCTCACGTTTGAGCTTGATCTTGATTTCTTCTTCTTCTACTTAGATTCTAGAGTTTGTATAATAAGTTTTTTATGCCCATAGTTTGGTTTAATATATTTGTTGGGCTGGATTTGTGCAGAGCTTAAGCTATAAAGTCCTGTAGGTAATTAACTTCCATCCATCTTTTCAAACTGATGAGTGTAGTATTCTGCTGTTGCTAGCTAGGCTTGCACCAACCATTTAATCCAATCATTCTGCCATTGACAGAGACCTAATTCCTCATCATTTCATCAAATCAAAATCATGCATATGAACTTTCCATATCTAACCTAATTTCCAACCCGTTCTGAATCAAGTGATGATCCTCCACAGCATCTTAGTTCCTCCTTCCTAAGCAAAACTCATTGCTGCAGCAATCCTTTCACATCCATCTCTTTCTCTCCATTTGCTAACCCTCCACCTTTTCAGAAACTGCATAAATGGTACTATGACCCTATCCCACAACCAAAGTTACAACCCTATAAAAACACATCAAATACAACTTATCTTTTTCCCATCGCCCTAAAAAACCAGTAATTCCAATAACTCGAGTTGTATTCCCCTGATCGAAATGATCAAATCCGGGCTCTTCTCGCTCCTACTCATTCTGCTCTTGCACCGCAGCAAAACCCTTGCTCAGTCATCTCCACCGCCACGACTCCCAACCGACACCGTGGCAATCCTACTCAAGGCCGGAAACCTCACCACATTCGCCCGACTCATCAAATCCACCCACGTCGACGACCAGCTCTCCGCCCAGCTCAACACCACAACCGACGGCATCACCATCCTCGCCCCGACGGACACCGCATTCTCCAAGCTCGGAAAACCCGACATCGACTCTCTCCACGACGTGGAGAGAGTCGAGCTCGTCCAGTTTCACATACTGCCGAGGCTGCTCGCCATCGTCGACTTCCAGACCCTGAGCAACCCGGTGAAAACGCTGGCCGGTTCGAACGGCCGGTTCGAGTTCACTGTGGCCACCACGGATACCGAGGTGACCATATCGACCGGCGTTATGAAAACGAGGATTAGTGGGACAGTGTACAGTGACGCGCACGTGGCTGTTTATGAGGTTGAGAATGTGTTGCAGCCCACGAACTTGTTCCCTCCTCCTGCACCTGCGCCCGAGCCCGCAGGTTCGGCCCCTGTTGTTCCCAAGGATGCTTCTGATTCGACGAGGATTGGGGAGCGGTGTGGAGGAGTTGTGGTGTTTGGGGTTGGATTTGTTGCCACGTTGTTGTTGGTTGCCTTGTGACACAAGAATATATGGGCGCCCTTTTGATGATGTACGGTGGAGCTCCTAATTCTGTCTCTTTATGTTTGTGATTTCCAATAATCAACATGTTCCAATTTGTAACTAAAGGATTGTTCTTCATTTTGTTTGTTGCTATTTCGTGAAAGACACTAAGATCTTTTTTGGTAGATGTTACAATAGTTGGATAGTACACTAAACTATATTAGTAGGTAAATAGTTTGTTTAATTAATTAGTGTTCTTTATAGGTGGTTTCTGTTTTTCTCCATTAGCGTAACCAATATGGTCATCATTCTAACACGCCGCTAAAATGTATTTCTTACACATTCACGTTGCCACCATAAAATCAAAGTTCGATATATTTTGTATTACACGTTTTTACCAGTCTAGGTATGGTGCATAAACTCATTCCTCTTTATTCTTTTTTGCTGGCATTTGAAACAATCAAAACTTGTTATGGATTTCATATGCTTAAGATAAATCTTGATCACTCAGGATGGTAGACTAAACTGTGTTAGTTGGTAATCCAAGTGTAACAAATGTGCTCATCAGTTTAACACCATTAAAAGTTACTTCTTATACAGCCGCATGGCAAACGATAAAGAATGACGATGATCCTTGCCACAAATACAGAGTTGGATAAATCTCTTACACGTTTTACCAACTATGTAATTTCTATGGTGATTAAACTTTTTTCTGACATTTGAAGCAACCAAAACTCATTAGAGATGACCTTTCATCTCTTCCTATTCTCTTCTAACCAACCAATTTTGCTTCTTTTGGATTCCACCTTAAATTAAACCTCTACACCTAATTTCAATTAATCCATTCAACCCCTATATATGAACACACTCACGCTCACACCCAACTTCATCTTGCCATTCATACACACAACCAAGAACCAACTATGAACACGATGCATCATCAACAGCAGCATTCATCTCTCTTCTCCCTGCTTCTCCTCCTCCCCTTCCTCCACCGCAGCTCCATCGCTCTAGCCCAGGCACCGGCTCCGTCCCCTTCCCCAACGGGACCAACCAACGTGGTGAAAATCCTGAAGAAGGCAGGGGAATTCAAGACCTTCGTCCGGCTTCTCAAAACCACACAGCTGGACACCAACCTGAACTCCCAGCTCGGCGACACCAACAACGGCCTCACCATCTTCGCCCCCAGCGACGCCGCGTTCTCCAAATTGAAGACTCCCGGCCGGTCATTGAACCGGCAGGAGAAGATGCAGCTGGTGCAGTTCCACATCGTCCCGACGTTCATCTCGAGGAAGCAATTCGAGACGGTGAGCAATCCCCTGAAGACGCACGCCGGGTCAGGGGACCGGTTCTTGCTGAACGTGACGGCGAGCGGGGATTCGGTCAACGTGACGACCGGAGTGATCAACACGACGGTGTCGGGAACCGTTTACGCGGATGCCCATCTGGCGATATATCGAGTGGATGACGTGCTGCTTCCTGCGGCTATCTTCGGCCCCAAGGAGAAATCCCCTGCAGCGGCGGCTCCGGCTGCGGCGAAGAAGGTGAAGGCGGATGATGAGTCCGATGATGATGGCGAGGATGAGGATGGAGATGGGGTTAGCAAACATGTCTCGCGGGGAGTAATTGAGGATTTGGATCCTCTGTTACTGGGATTTTGTATTGTTCTGGCGCAAATTGCTCTGTTTTTGTGAGTGATTATGAATTGCTGCGGATTTTGGTATGGATTTGGGGACAAAGTTTGAAAGATCTGAACTTTAGTCCAAAACTACTACTCGGAAAAGGAAAACAGAGTCCCAACTGGTTTTTGAAGGTATTCGTATAACAAAAATTAAGTGAAAATCGGAAGCCGATTAGGAGACGGAAACAGAGTGGCCTACTCATATATATACACGAACGAAACTGGGGATTCATTATAAGAGGGAAGGAACCGAAGGCAGAGATATAGCTAATCACTGCGTTCTGTTTCTACTTTTCTGTGAAATTTTACATCCGTTAGCCGCTCAAGGCTATAACGTCGGTCGTGAACAGAGACGTACCAATGCCGGCGGCAGCGAAGAATAAGTGCGACGGCGGCAGTGATGACGATTCGTTCGATGAGCTTTGGAGCCACGTGGAAGAGAATTTGCGCCACCAAAATAAGGATGAAAGCATTTACTTTTCCGGTGATGGGCGCATCAGCCTAACGGAGACATCGGAAACGACACCTGCACGGAACAGGCCGGTGGCAAGGCTATCACCGGAGCAACGAGTCGTTGGCAACTTCTGCCGGAATCGTCGCTCATGCGAGAAGCTGCGTACGCGCGTCCCGGAGGGCTCTGGTGATCGGACCAGATCGGTGGTTGTCTTTCCCCCTTTTCTGGTACCCAATGTTTTTTATTTATTGCAGTCTCGCATTTAATTAGCGTAAGGAGATGATTAATTAAAAAGAGTAATGTGTATTTTTTATTTAAATTTTGTTTAGATTTTTTTACATTATTCAAATTTATCAAAATACTAAAAATTAGTCAAAAGTTAACTTTTCATTAGCAATTTTGTTAGTTATATTGACTTGACAACATGATACTGACTTGGAAAAGACACATGAAGGTCAACGTTGCAAATTTTAGTATTTTAACTAAGAAAAAAATTACAAAATTTTTAACGATATCGTAAAAATGTATAATATTTTGATGCATTCCAAAAGATTTGGTTAATTAATAGAATTTTAATAGAATTGAATAATATAAAAGATCTGAAAAAGGTCTTGATAAAAAATAGACATTACCTTTATTTAATTGGGTTAATATATTTGTATGACCTGAACTTTGACAATAATAAACATCTTGACCAATCTTTTCGATCTATAACATTTTGGACCAAACTATACATCAAAATAATGAAATTGGCCAAATCTGATGTTTGATCGTTAACTTGGACGGTCAAACGCATTCACTAACGGTCAACGCGCCATGTCACGGCCAAATCAGCATAAAATATTTAAAATATTCACAATTTTCACATATTCCCAATACTTGTATTATGACTAAAATTGGGAAAAACAAAAATAAAATAAAAATAAACCCGTTTTTCCCCTTGGTGCTTCCCTGCCTCTTCCTCTAATCTCTACCACTCCGCCTTTCTATTTCCTCGTATCTCATACCACCGAATTCGTCGCTTAACAATCGCTCAACAAAGTTTATCAGTACAATAACAGAGAGGAAACCACAGAGTAGAAGCAATATTATATAATAAAAAAGCATTCTAATTCCCTCGTATCTCATCCACACCAAGAATTCTAATTCCCCCATCTGAAGCGATATTATATAATAAAAAAGCAAATACACCACGGAATGGAAAGATTCGATTAGCTCCTCAATTTCAGTTCAAAGCTTCAGATATACTTCCAACCTCCCAACCACAATCAATTTCAATCGACGAATGCAAAAGAAATAGTAGAAGTTGAAATGAGCCCAGCTGGGCATACTTACTTTTGAGCTCGTCCAGCCATCGTCCGACGCTCTCGAAGGTGGTTTGCGGCTGATGTCGTAGACGATGGGAGCACCGACGGTGCCCCTGTCGTAAGCAAAGGTGACGACGCGAAACCTCTCTTGGCCGACGGTGTCTCAAATTTGGTCCTTGACCTCATTGTCGTCTATTTCCATGCTCTGGGTTTGGAACTCCACGCCGATAGTGGTCTTGGAGTGGAGGTTGAACTCGTTCCGCGCGTAGCATGACAGGAGGTTGGACTTCCCGACGGGTTTTGGAGAGAGATGGAGACGAGAGTTAAGCACAGAGCGGGAGGATGGAGATAGCTCGAAAGACTTAGGGTTTAGAATTGATCGGGAGTTTGAGAATTTTGAGGATTTTTGGGGAAGAAGAAGATGAAGCAGAGAGTGGAGAGAGAGAGAGAGAGAGAGATTTCAATTAGATGAGTTGGATTGTGGGGAAGTGATTGGAGGATCGTGTTTGAGGGAGATTGACGGAGGAAGGGTCGTCAGAGATGGTGATCATTTTGGGGAGAGGGGATCTCATAAATATTTCTTTTTTTCGTTTTTCATTTTTTGTTTAACTAAGGTATTAGATAAATACTTTTAATTTATAATAATTTCAAATTAGGGAATATGTGGAAATTGTGAATATTTTATGCTCACTTGGCAGTGACGTGCCGCGGTGACTAACGTTCAAGTTTACAGTCAAACATCGAGTGTGGCCAATTTCGTTATTTCAATGTATAGTCTGAACCAGGATGTTATAGATCAAAAAGATTGGTCAAGATGTTTATTATGGTCAAAGTTCAGGCCATACAAATATATTAACATTAAAGAGAAAGTTTTTTTTGTATATACGTGTGCAATAGATTTATTTGTTGTCCAATAGATTCATTTTTTGTAAAAGAAGAAGAAGATTTATTTGTTGTTATTATATGTTATATAAGGGATTCTAATAGTTGACTCTTAGATTTAAGAGAATTGATATTTGAATATGGAACCTTCTATTTTGATCTCAACTTTGACGCCCGCTTTAAAATTGGGAAAAAATTCCAGAATACACTAGTAATTAAAAAAAAAATTCCCAAAACACAGTAGTTATGAATAGGGGTGGTAAACGGTAATCCGGTAAACGGTTTACCGTTTTACCGAACCGGTAACCGGCGGTAAACGGTAAACCGTTTACCGGCGGTATCGGTAGCCGAGCGGGAAGTTGGGGGAGTCGGTTTACCGGAAACGGTATCGGTAAATACCGACGGTAAATCGGTATTACCGATACCGAATCCCCCCTCCCTACTCCCTAGTGCTGCGCTGCGTTTTGTTGCTTTATTATGAAAAATATTACATCATTATTCACAAATATACAATATTACATACATGAATGTAAGTATAGGCCTAAAAAATAATGTAAATAAGAGTTAATAATAAATTATTAATTACAAAAATGATGAAAAAAACTCAAAAAAATCAAAATATTACAACATCACCCCACTTCCAGAAATTCGGTTCAGTAAATATTCGGTAAACCGACCGAAAAAATCGCCCGAAATCGCTTCTCACGGTATTTCGGTAATACCGGTTTGTTACCGTTTACCGGTAATTCGGTAATCGGTAAACCGGTTACAAACCGGTATTGGTAATCGGTAACCAGTTTGGCCAACTTCGGTATACCGAAACCGGTAAATTCGGTAAACGGTAAATTGTTTACCGACCGAATCCCACCCCTAGTTATGAAAATATTTCCCAAAGTTTAGCAGTTTGATCATCACTGTCATTGTCGAAGACAGTGATGATAATCATCGCGTTAGTGGACAACGATGAAGGTATCACCGTTTAGAACAGCAACGGTTATATATTCATCGCGGTAATAAAAAACGGTGAACAGATCACCAGGACAGGTTACGGTGATTACTAAGGGTAAATTGGGTATGAAAAATAAATTGTATTAATTAATTTTTTTAATAAATTACATTTTAGGTAGTTACAAGAATCTATTAATTACAATTCTCTCTCTTTCTCTCACTTCCATAATCTTCAGCCAGATCTCGTTTCCTTATTTTTCTCAATCTTTCTGCAAAAGGAAAAAAACACGAAATCACTACCAATCCATTAGACAATCACTACCACTTTGAAAAATATCAATACCATTGTAGAAATAAATCTATACCATTACACCAAAACTACCAATATAAACAATCTACCAATTTAAATATATACCATTACATGATAATCAATACCAATGCAGAAAAAAAAAACAATACCAATGCGAAAACTACCAATATAAACAATCTACCAATATAAATTAATACATGCAAATCAATACCATTACATGATAATGAATACCAATGCAGAAAAAAACAATACCAATGCGGAAAAAACACTACCACTGCGGAAAAAACAATACCAATATAAACAATTTATATATACCACTAGAAGAGCCAAGACAAGAGGGAAGCAATAATTGATAGTATTTTATGATTGAAAGGAAAGGAGATCTGGAACTAGAAATGGTCGGTGCCAATTGAGAAATAAGATTTGGAGATGTAAAAGTAGTAAAAATTATTAGAGTGAGTGATCGGCAAGTACATACCTCATAGGAGGAGTCATGCTGAGGCCATTGGCAATTAGGCTGCGTTGATCGGTAACGGCGGCGGCGGGTTTTGACGACGATGCTAATAGAGCTGCTACCTCTAGTAGCAGTAGGCAGTAATGGCATTGGATTGTGGTAGACGGCGGATGAGGTGGGTGAGGTGAGGTGAGGTGGAGGGAGGGAGCGGGGAGGGAAGAAGGACCACGGTTAGGGAGATGGGTTACATTAGGGTTTGGGTGTAATATATAGAGTAATCAGGTGTGGTATTTTTTTATTTCCGAAATTAACCTTAATCTAATCTTAACCGTCAATTTAAAAATAAGGAGAAATAGAGATAATGAATGGTACAGATTTTGATAGCCACCGTGATTACTAAAAATTAAGTAACCACGCTAACCTATTCCACAGATCAGCGTGTCTCTCTAAAACGGTGCCTTCACCGCGTCTGAGAAAAACGGTGAATACATCACCGCAGTCATAAAAAACGGTGATCTTTTACCACGTTTTACAACCCTGGTAAGTTGAAAATTAGGTCACAACGACCTAACTTTCACTGTCTTGGTCGAAAGCGGTGATGTGTTCACCGCATTTGTCCACCGCGGTGATTAGCTCTTATATTTTGCTTATAAAAAGTTAAAAACCCATCCCTCATGTACCTCCAGCTGCCTTACATCAATTCAGTCAAAAATTAGTGATTTTTTGGTCCTTTTCTCAGTTGGCTTGCGGTTGGCTTTCAACAACAAGAAACTCACCGGGATTCAGTATGTTATAATTATGTATTGTTTACATGTTGATGTATTAGTAATTATATGTCTGTATTTAGTGAATTGTGGTTATTGGCAAATATGTTATGTTAGAGATATTTAGATTAATTATGGTATGATTGATGTTAGTTAGTTATGAATTTAGAGGAATTTGTTTAGTTTTCTCATGATAGATCAGTTAGTTGCGGTTGTTTATGGGTATGGATCATATTATTTTTGTATCCCTAATGTACTAATTATACTATACTAATCTTATTCGATTTAAGCTAATAGTTACTTATTATAAATTGCATACATGGGTAAATTTAAGAAGTTTCGGCTTATTATTTGGTGGTATAGTCGGATGACAAACTCGGACATTGGGATCGAATATGAAAATGGCGAATCCACTATGCTAAAAATTGAGTCAGGATTCACGTGGCAAGAACTTCGTGATATTTGTGCAGAAAGGACTTGTATGGACGGGCAAGGAGAGTTGGTCAAATTACTTACCGGTATCCAAACATGAGTGCTGGCGGAGTTATGTACGAAGAAGTTGTCATAAATGATGATGACGCGGTGTACATGATGATACAGTTCCTATCTGACAATGGGATGCGACTTGCAAAGGTGTATGTCGTGACCGAGTCGGTCGGTGAAACTCATTCTCACCAGTATTCTTGTGATGATGGTTTTGCAGGAGGGTACGGTTGGGGTGGAGGTGCAAGCAACTACGGAGGAGGTAGTTCTGCAGGAGGTGTTGGGTGGGAAGAATACCCGCAACCTGCCGAGACTGCCCCATTTGTTGAGCCCGATGGTGATCAATGGCATACTTGGGGGCCATAGTGGGCTGACATTGAGAACAACCTTTGAACTGGGCGTACTTCGCATGACTAAGAAGACGATGTTGGTTATGCTGGTAACGATGGTCCTCTTGAGCCGAGCTATCCATTCGCCTCCAGCGACGATGAAAGTGAGGAAGATTTGAGGTCAGTCAGTGAGGATGAAGATACGGACGATATCGATGACAACGAGGTGGCGTTCAATGAGGCACCAATGCCTTACTACACAGAGGTTCCATCTCAATTTTTATATAGTCAGAATGATGCCCCTAACTTTCGCCCTATGGCTGTGTATAATCCGACTGCCAGTTTGGAGGTGGGTATGGCGTTCACTTCGAAAGTCTATGTTCAAGATGCTTTTACCGAAGAAGCCATGTGACGCAATTTCGAATGGAAGGTAAAATATTCTGACACCAAACAACTACATGTCATTTGCAAGAATGCTGGAGAGGGTTGTATGTGACAACTGTGGGCTGCAAATATGGAGAGAAAGGGTGTCTGGGTCATTCGGACAGCAGAGAACAACCACAGCTGCTCCTCAAACATACTGTCCCATGATCACCGGCAACTGAAAGCAAAGAAAGTGGCAAGAATCATTAAGCACTTGATCGAGGCACAACCAGATATCAAAATCAAAGATATCAAGGCGTGGCATGGGAAGCATAAGGCCATGGCTGAGGTCTATGGTGATTGGGACGAGTCGTATGCTTTACTCACTAGATTAATGGCCGCCATGGAGGAGTCCAACCTGGGATTGTTTTCATGCCATGTTACAACAATGTATACACTGAGGATCAAGTTCGAGTACAAAACGAGTTGATTTTTCATCGTCTGTTCTGGACCTTCAACCCATGCATTGACGGGTTTGCCTTCTGCATGCCAGTTATCCAGGTATATTACGGTCTAAACACTATTGTACTAGTTCATCTTTTTACTAAGTAATATTTATACTAACTAAAATTCTTTTTAACAGGTTGATGGAACTTTCCTTACTGGGAAGTACAAAGGAAAGGAACTCTTCTCATTGCCACTGGCGTTGATGGAAATTTAAGTATTTTCCCCTAGAGTTTGCATTAGTTGAAGGGGAGAAAACTTAAGTTGGGCATGGTTCTTTGACCAGCTACACCACCACGTCACACAAAGAATGGGTATTACAATTATATCCGATCGACATGCTGGGATTAAGCACGCCGTGAATGGTTTTCCCGACGAATGGGGGTGGACACAGTGCTGGTGTATTCGACAGTTTCTTGCAAATTTCCAGCACAAATTTGGGAAGAAGAAAGATATAAGAGATCAATTGTGGAGGGCAGGTACTAATGTAATTCTGTGCTTGTTCATGGTTTACTTTCCATATGAAATTTCTCATGTCTTAATTATTTAGAAAAAGTATGTATATAAGATATTTTTAGGGAATAGATGTTGATGACTTGATATATACACATGTTTTTGTCCACCATTCCTCTACCGTTTGAGTCTCATCTCTTGTGTTTTAGGCCGATTTCATGCTAGGTTGTTCGTGTTTGTGATATTTCAGGTCCTAGTACGTGAAGGAAGGTTCGGGCACGAGTTCGGGGTCGATTGGACGAAATTGGAACGATTGACAGGAAGCTGGGAAACCACACGGTCGTTTGACGTGCCCGTGTGGAACCACTTTGCGCGGGCAAGTCACACTGGCCGTGTAAAGGACCCTTTGTGGCCGTGTGGAAATCCCAAAGACCTTCACACGGGCAGGCCGAGATTTTACGCGGTCGTGCGGTTCTGGTCGTGTAGCGTGCATGGAGGAACATAAGTGAAACGTGGCGTAATTTACACCTCCACACGGGCAGCTGGAAATTCTTCACGGTCGTGTGGCCTGGCTGTGCAGTTGGGGAATTCTGGGTTTTAACCCAATTTCGGGTCTTTTGAGAGGGGAATCGATTTTCTGAGCTAGAAACAGAGTCCTAGAGAGAGAAAGTGCAAAGAAAACACACTAGAGGTGATTTTGGAGCTGGGTTTCATCGATCAAGCTTAGATTTCATCCTTAGAGTGAAGATTATCATCCCAGAGCAGATTCTTCCCATCTTGATGAGTATGACTGCTTTGTTTTCTGTTTTCCTCTCTCTCTCTCTCTATGAAGTAGAACCTTCTCTCACTTGGGTATGAAGAACCCTAGTTCCATGTGTTAGGGATATCAATTGTAATGACGTTTGGATTGTGATACTGCTTGATTATAATCGATTGAAGTGTTTTGTTTGAGTCAATTGAAGGTTGATCATCTTTTATTGATTTATGCTGCAACCTGAGATAGATAGAATCTGATAAGTTGTTAGAGCTTCTTCGATCGGTAGTAGTGAATCAATTATACGAGAGTTAGTTGATTCACTGTTTTGTACTTTGGGTCGAATAATACCCGCTCTATCGCGAGTCAGATCGGATAATACCCGCAAAGCAGGTTCAAATTGCCATCATTATCTCCAACCCCTCTCCCCTTCCCTTACGGTGCTTTGTTTGTGGGCTTATAAGTTATACCGATACACGATTGCACCACGGCCCAAACCTTTCAAATTTAGATCAGCCCCACTGTCCAAGTATAATTATCAAATTTATGAGAGCGGATCCAGTGACTAAGGGGGGGTGCTTAGTCACTTGACTAAGCCCCTCCCAGCCCTTAGATCTGGATACTTCAATCCAATGGTTAAAAAGTGGGAAGGGCTATTTAATTAATGACAGGGTAGTTTGGGTATTATGGAAAATTACAAAGTATACAAACCGAATTTACAATCAGTACAAACCATACAAACATACGAACAGTACAAACTAGAGCGACAAAACATACAAAAAGATTTACAAACATTACAAACGTATGAACTGTACAAACAATACAAACTAGACCGACAAACAATACAAACCATACAAAAAGAAAAAACAACCGGGTTGACTTTCGAGGCTCCATCCCTATATAGAGGGGCTCCTTCCCAAAGTCAACCCGGGTGTTTTTTAGACATACAAACAGTACGAACATGGTGGACAAAAATGACAAACTAGACCGACAATCCATACGAACGGGAAAAAACACCCGAGTTGACTTTGGAGGCTCCATCCCTATATAGAGGGGCTCCTTCCCAAAGTCAACCCGGGTGTTTTTTAGACATAAAAAACATTACGAACATGGTGCACAAAAATGACAAAGTTTACGAACATGGTGCACAAAAATAACAAAGTTTACAAACATTACAAAAAAAACCGACAAACATTACAAAATAACAAAGCATACAAACATTACAAAATATGTCAACAAACATCACAAAATTAGCACTGTCGCCGGGAATTTCTTCTCCGGCGACGATGTTCGCCGGGAAAAAATTTCCGACCAGAAAATCTCTCTCTCTCTCTCTCTCTCGTATAATTCCATGGGCAATTCCCTGGGGGAAAGTTGCCGTCGGGAAGGGTCAAAAAATATACGCACTCTCTCTCTCTCTCTGCGCTGTTGGGTTGGGTTTTGGGCAGAAGCTTTTTGGGAAAAATTAATCCCACGGCCCTGGGAACGGAGGCGCAGGTCGCCGGAAAATGCCCAGGAAAACGGGCGCGCGGATGCGGACGGGGAATTGGATTGTTTTTTTAATTGTTAAATATATTAATTATATAATTACTACATTACCCTTCATTAAAATAAATTAATCTGAACCATTAGATTTTAATGATATGGAAGGGCTGAGATTGACTTAGTCATATGACTAAGGCCCCCCTCTTAGTCACCTGATCCTAGCTCCAAATTTATGGCAGACCCACAGGCCACAACCCATAATTTATGGAACCCATATCAATAACAATTGAATCATCAATCACTAATTGATCCTATTTTCAAAACATTGAACATTAAAGGTTCTCTAACATATTATGTTAAAATTGACTTGAACTAATTGAACCTAATCCAATCATTAAAAAATCAAATAACTTATCAAACTGACTTGATGGTTTAATCAGGTTTTATTTTTTTTTATTTGTAAGAAATATAGATTACGAAAGCAAGAAAAGTGGCAAACTGGCAGCAGTGCCATTACATGATAGAAGAGAGTGCTAAGGATGGGGAAAAGAGTGGCCAATACTATCTAACTCCAAAAGTGGAATAACTTGTGGAGGCGGATTTGGCCATAAGTGTTCCCCATCTCTGCAACTATGACCCAATGCAGCCATAAGATCAACGACTGCATTTGCTTCTCTTAGGATGTGTGAGAACTTTGTAGTCCATGGTTGACGGAAAAGAGCACGGCAGTCAGCGGGTGAAACAGATCGTTTTCGGATCGGATAAGGTGCACTGCTAATTGCGAGTCTGATTCAACCTCAACATTTCGAAATCCGGTTTAATCAGGTTTTACAACCTTCCTAACCACATACTGCAAACTAAACTTCGATTCCTACTTTAAAGTGTGAACCGCATCCCAGGCCCGGCCCATGCAAAACAATCATCTGTGCTGAAGCCTATATCATCAATTATTCAGCCCATCGATTGTTACAGTGTCCTTGTTTGTTGGCTTATCCTTTTCCATAAGAGACTCCCATTCTTGTTAGACAACTCTAGACTTATTTAATGAACGAAATGCAATTGTCAGTTCCAAACATATAGAAGAAGTCTCTTCAACGCATTCTAGAAACCACAGTACAATTACTGCCGCGAATACTCTCAATAATTTGGGTTATTACAATTAGCTGGTTGGGTCTCAAAATATTTTTTTTTTCCCTTTTGAATCGAGAGATCTCTTTTTCGAAATCTTTGTAAACTTCAAAGCTTTCATTTGAAGGGAGGGTGAATTATTCAGGTCAACAGCTTCTCGACAAGTACACCATTAATGCACGTAAAAAAAAACTAAGAATTAATCCAGGTTAAAATTTGCTTCCCAAGCCACCTCCATGCAGCTTCACTTTTGCCGCCATTCTAAGCAAAACCATTACAGTAATACAGTTAGTTAAGGTTCCATCCCTCTCCAACTGCAAAATTTTCCATGAAAAAAAAAAATTAGCCACGTTCTAACCACTCCTTCTTTTAGTACTGTTATATCCCCCTGCGGATGGTTTATTATATGTAACAACCGCACCTAACACTCCTTCCTAATCACACTCTCACCTCTCTCCTTTATAACCAACTTCCCTTCTTTGCTCCAATCACTTCCATCTATCTATTCGCGACCCAAAAATGGTGTCGATCATGAAGCAACATTCTCTCTTGCTCTCACTCTTCACCATTGCCCTGATCTCCGGCCCAACGCTGGCCCAGCAGCCACCGGCCGAGGCACCGGGCCCAGCGGCCGCGGTCGCCAAGCTGGGCCCGATCAACGTGGTCAAGATCCTGACCAAGGCGAAGACCTTCAAGTCCTTGGTCCGCCTCCTCGAAACGACGCAGCTCGACAGCAACCTCAACAACCAGCTGGGGGACTCCAACAACGGCATCACCATCTTCGCCCCGAACGACGCCGCTTTCGCCAAGCTGAAGCCGGGCACCCTCGGGCAGCTGACCAGGCAGGAGAAGCTGCAGCTGGCGCAGTTCCACATCGTCCCGGTCTTCATCTCCCGGTCCGACTTCGACTCGGTCGGGAACCCGGTCCAGACCCACGCCGGCTCGGGCGACCTGCTCCAGCTCAACGTGACGTCCACGGGCGGTGGGCCCGTGAGTTTGGAGACCGGGGTGACTAATGCTACTCTATCCGACACCGTTTATATGGACGCCCACTTGGCCATTTACCAGGTGGACAAGGTGCTTCAGCCCATGTCCATCTTTGGCGCTCCGGATCGGGCCCAGTCGCCGGCGCCCGCCGCGGCGAAGGGGAAAGGGGGTAAGAGTGGTGACGTCGGGGATGACGAGAGCGGTGACGACGGCGGTGATGATGATGGTGGGGTTGGCGGGAAACGCTCTTCCGCGGCGGTTGTTGTTCATAGTAGTACTGTTGTTGTTGCTGTGTTTGTGGGAGTGATTTCTGTAGCTTTAAACTTGTTGCATTATGGTTTGACCGTGTGATTTATATGATCGGAGAATAAAGATTGGGAAGAATTGTAACCAATCCGTGATTGTATTTGTGTGGTTGGATTTGGAAGTGTATTATGATTCAGGAATCATTTGATTGTTACGTGACGAGTACAAAATCAATTTATCGTATTTGGTAATATGTTGGATCGTTACCGTAAATAACTAAATGGTATACGGTGAATTCAGATTGTTTTTGCGTTTATATATTATTATATTGTTATGTTATTGGTTTGTTTTGTGCATGGTAATAATAAGTTAATAACGCCACATCCAACGCCGTCAATATGAGGCAGAACCTTGTTGACATAACTTTGTTGACGAGCATATTACCACCAAATCGGGACGAACTTTGTCAACACTATTGAGTTGGGTAAATATGACTTTGTAAAATAGTCTTACACCAACCTGTCAGATGTATGGATATGTCAGTTGGCTTGGCCAAATATGTTGGTCGACTCAAGACCCCAACACATAAAATGTCAAATTCAAACGAATTTCTCTACCACGATTGAAATAATCGTTGAAACTACTCAATCTGTCATGGAAAAAGAATGTGACAGAAATTATTTTTGTTAGTGTGATTCACCAAATAAGACCTCCAGTTAAAGCAAGTAGACTTGTCAAACACATATGAAACTAATGTACCAACGAACCAATAAAAAGAATTGCTACTATAGTTCTACACTCCCCTTAATAAGTCAGATGTGTATATATATATATATATATGCATTGACGTCGTCCCTCGGCCTGATTTTCTTCTTCCATCAAATGGATCTGTTGATGCCCGCTTGATCCTCCAACTTCCCTTCCGTACCAGCCCTCTCCTTCGCGGATAAGCCTGCACTCACAGAGGTGGGCCTTGTGGCCCGTTAGTCCTCCAACGCTCAAGTCAGTACGTTTCTTAGTGAGAGAAGTGCTTATTATGCACTATTTTAGTGAGAGAAGCCAAATTGAGTAAATGCTTACCAACCTCACTATTTATAGCCGATCATTGCTTACCTGGACCTTCCTGTACGGATTTCCACGTCACCCTAGCATTTAATGCGAGTGATTCCGGGCGCCCTCTTTGCAAGCACTACAAGAAAGTGCATCTTTTGCGACGAATTCTTTTGCGACGACAAGATAATCGTCGCAAAAAGTGCACAATTTGCGACGAATTTAACTTTTTCGTCGCGCATTGTGTTAATTTTCTGTGGAAGGTGGGGCATAGGGTTTTGCGACGAATAATTTATTTTACGACGAACTAACTCGTCGCCGAATGTTTAAAGACGTTTTGCGACGACAGTCTTTCGTCGCAGATAAGTTGGAGATATTTCGCGACGATCTTCAGCCGTTGCAGAAAGTTTATGAATTTTTCGCGACGATAATATTTCGTCGCTGTAAGTTGGAGATATTTGCGACGACAGTCTTTCGTCGCAGAATGTTTGGGAATCTTTTGCGACGATAGTCCTGCGTCGCAGAATGTCTGGATGTATTTTGCGACGATATCTGTCGTCGCAAAATATTTGTAGTGTTTTTTGGTAAAAAAATGTACAAATAATGATGATTAAGTTGAAATTGATAATCTCACATATATCAAATGTTGAATATCTTTGGTAGGTAAGAATTAATTGGTTTAATCAATAGTAATTATCCTTTCACCACGTTTGCGTGTGAAGGTTAAGTAATTAAATTTAAGATGAGAAAATTAGGATAAAAAATTTGTGCGTTAGTTTAACTGGTAATTAAGGTGGGTTTTTATTGCTTGTTGTATTTTCCGTTTTCATCAGACAAAGAGGGCCATTTTAGTATTTTCAACAAAACACGGTGGCAAAAGGTGGTGATTTCTAAGAAGTTTTAAGGTTAAAACTGTCATTTTCCGGGGATATATAATCAAAGGTTGGAGTGAGCGTTCCAACCCTAGCCGCTATCTTTCCTTTTCCAGATCTGCATCTTCCTCCTCTACTCTCGTTCCTTCCCATTCTCCGCACGGTTTCCCCTCTAAGAAATCATATCTGCCGCTCCTTTTCAAAAACCCTAGCCGTCACTACTCTGATCTGAAACATGTGATATCTTCTCCTCTGGTCTCTCCTTCGATCTGCTCTCTCGCCCCTATCTAGCGATAGACGAAGCTCATGGCGGCGGACGACCCTAACGGCAGGCCGGCAGCGTCGATGATATAGATATGTTCCTCCTCTTCTCTAGATCTATTCCTTTCTCGGTATCACATCTTCGAGGAGAAATCGATCTCGGCTGACACAAATCGAGCACAATAGTTGTCGATCTAGGTAAGTTTTGACATGCATATTTTTCTTCTTTATTTTTTATTTTGAACTTGTGGTTTGGAAAACGATTCTGACTTTTCATTCTTTGTTTTGGTTTTGCATTCGCTGAACGAGACCTGGTCCGAGGTGAAAGCTCCAGCGACGGCGGTTTTGACGGCGGCGGTAGATTAAGGGTTTGTGTGGAGATCTTGGGCTAATCTGGGATTTTGTGTTTTGAAGAGCTGGTTATCTGATTTACCAAAAAATAAATTTGATTAACTCCAGAAAAGAACCAAAAGTAAAATGAACCTGGAAAAATAAATTACTAATTTTTTTGGAAATAGTGAATAACCTAAAAAAAGAAGTATCCTTCGCCAAAGCATCACCATCTGCGACAAAATGATACGTCGCGAAATCATGATTTTCTGCGACGAAGGAGCTCCAAGCGTCGCCAAATGATCCTTTTGCGACGGATCAATACGTCGCCAAACGTTGATCCTTCCGCGACGAATGTAGTTTTTTGCGACGAACACAGTTTTTTTCGTCGCAGAACTTTTTGCGACGCTGTATAGGCGACGAGCGATTTTCCGTTTCCGCGACGCCTATATTCGTCGCGCAAACTTAATGCGACGGATTTTAGACTTTCGGCGACGAAATTTTTCGTCGCAAAAAGTGAAATTTCTTGTAGTGAAGTGATTCCGGGCGCCCTCCTTAGGTACGCACAACTCACAAGCGCACCCTAGGCGCCTAACGTGCGAGTACTCTTACCACACCGGGCGCTCAGGTCGACTTGCTCTTCTGATCTAAACCCATGGGCGCCAGTCACGGCCCACTCCGTTTCCCTAGACCCACTCCAGAGTCTTGAGTGAGCTCAACTTTCCTTAGGCTATTTAGACTCCGTGCTTCTTAATGGGCCTCACTCACATATTGAGGCCTTCTCATTCGAACACCCCCAACAATTGCCCCCCAGTTAGGTGCTCAAGTTTTGGATTCCTTGAGCGCCTAACTATTAGGCTTTTACTCTCTCTCTTCCACCTCTCATCGCGACAGCTGCTTGCCCCCCATTTTGCTGTGACCGACGCCTTTTTAGAACAGGCGTTTCAATCCTACTAAAACGCACAGGCGCCCCTAGCGTACCACAGGCGTCCCTGACTCAGGTGCCCTCAATCATTAGTATTCGGCTAACTTTTTTCCCGGGCTCCTCCGCTGCCATACGACTTTCGATTTCCTTCCTCGGGGCGCCTAAAATCCAACCCTCTTGTTTCTTAGCCGACGCCTTCTCTTCGCTCCCGGGGCATCGAGTTAGCGCTCTATTTCAGACCCCTTCCTTGGGGCGCCTAAAATCCGTCCCTTTTGTTTCTTAGCAGACGCCTTTTCTTTCCCGGGCGCATCAATTTCGCGCTACATTCAAGACCTCCCCTGCTTCGTCGTGCGCCCTAGCCGCCTTTAGCATATGACCAAAACGCCTCATCGCTCCCCCTCTCGTCGTGCGCCCTAGCCGCCTTTAGAACATAACAAAAACGCTTCATCGCTCTTCCTCGATTCAAAGCGCCTCGCCCCCTCAACTTGTCGAAGGCGCCTCGGTTGTCTCCTGCTCCCCGGCGCCTTGCGCCCTAGCCGCCTGCTTCCCCCTGGCCGCCTCTCACTCTCTCCTGCCCCCCTTCACAACCGCCGGTGTGGGATTCCCAACGGTGCGGTTGTGAATTAGCCACGTGGCAGCCGGCACGATATTCGAGGCGCTCCAGCTTTCTTTAAATGTAAGTTGATTCTCGGCATTGTTTTTCATTCACCCCCCATTGCCTTCTCACTCTAGTTTCTCTCTCTGTCGTGCCTCTCTTCTGCTTTAGCGTTCGATCGCACTTGCCGCGATGTCTCTCCCAGCCGATGCTGCCGCCGCCGCGGGCTCTTCTCAGGATCAAGGCGGCCCTTCCAAAGCCGGTAAGCCACTCTCGTTTTTTTTTTTATTGTGAATGCTTGTGAATTTTTGCGATGGAGGCGCCTCTTACTACTCCAACGGTTGTGCGCCTACTTGACTTGTTTTAGTGGGGGCGCCCGAATTGTCACCCATACCGACGCCTTCATCGAACTACGTGCCGGAAGATGGGTCGTACAAGATGACCACTTGGGAAGGCACCTGGCCGCCAGAGTATGCGCCTTGGGAGACAGCATGCTTGCCGACAAATGTGGCAGGGTCCGAGCATAACTCCACCATCTCAGCGCCTTGGATGAAAAGCTTGATCGCTGGGCTCGGGCTCCCGCGCACCTGGACGTATACGCCTCCATCGCCTCTGGCCAGGGTAGGGTTGTGCGGGCCCCGCTGGTTGGGTATCTACCAGGAGTATTTCCGGTTCGGGCTCCGGTTTCCTATAGATCCCATATTGGAGGGTATTCTGGATTACTGCGAGTGCACGATCGGGCGCCTATCTCCATCCGTAATACTGATTGTTGTGCTCTTCAAGCTGAAGTGCCGAATTCACCACGTGCGCCCGACCTTCAACTTGTTTCGTCACTTCTTCTCGGTGACGCCCCGGAACAACTGTCTGTCATTGAAGCGGCGGAAAAAACTGCGCGCCCATTTCGTGACGAAATGCCCTAAATTGGGGCGTACATGGTTCACAGGCTTCTTCTTTATGAAGGCGCATAGAGATTACTTCTTTGAAAGTGGAGGCGCCTTTAGGACTGACTGGGAGCTTGGCACTGAGGTTCGCTTCAACGCTGCTGTTGTTCTAAGCCGAGAAGAGCGAGATG